AAACGCATACTCTCAAAGTGTATTAATTATAACATTCCACCTACTTTTAATGATTATCTTACCGTGCTTTTTTTCTGGACACTTTTCTTTACAGCGTACACCATACCAGCCTTGCGAACAAGGCTGAGAACAATCCGGTCCTTCCCAACCTCTCGCGCAAATACAATTTCCTGTGTCTGGGTCGCAAGAACTATTGTTCATGCAGTTGCACTGTGAATGACAATCCTCGCCGTAAAGACCCTCTGGGCATTTTGTCTCACACCGGATTCCTACGTTTTGACATTGTAGTCAATACCGTATTGTGAACAGTATCCAAGAATAGATCCATGATGATGATGATGATGATGATAATGATGATGATGACGATGACGATGATGGTGAGAACGAACGTTCGGTGGATAAATCGATGAAGATAATTAATAAAAATAAAATACAAACCTCGCCAGTCTGGCTTGCAAATGCAATGGCCGGTTGTTGGATCACAGTCGATGCTGTTTTCAGGATGACAATCGCATTCCTGAGTACAGCCATGTCCAAAATATCCTTTTAGGCAATGATCCTTGCAGAGTTCACCGACAAAGCCAGCCGCACAAGTGCATGTGCCTATATGATTAAATAATGTGACGTATGTTCTCCGATTTTCTTTTCTTATCTTTCCTTTTTCTTTTTTTATATTGTTTACAAACAAGTGTAGGTGCAAACCGAGACAAGTTAAAAAGAGTAAGAATTTGTTTCATGATAAGATGCAGAGACTCAAAATATTAGTGATATTAATCAATGAAGATGTGTAAGTAAATATGGTGCCAATTAGAATTTTACAATGAAAACGTTACACCCAACTCCCTTACCATTTTGTGGATTGCAGGAGGCGTTATTAAAGCAGTTGCACTTGTTCGCACAGTCCTTGCCAAAAGACTTGTCGTCGCAGGGACGATCGCAGAGAACACCATCCCATCCTATCAAAATATTACAATAATACGTAACAATGCATTACTTACCTTCATCTGCTAGTTTTCTTTATCAATGACTTATCGAAATATAATAATCTACCATTTCACGTACTTTCTACAAATTTGTTAACAGACAGCGATGCAGAAAGAGGAACAAAAAAGAAGAAGAAAAAAAAAAAAGAAAGAAAGAAAGAAACCATTTTACGTGCACGGTACGAATTTTTACAAAATACTTTCTCGATTTTTGTTTTATTCATTTAGAGAAACGAAAACAAAAAAGAGAAAAAAAATAAAAAAAAAAGTAAAGAGAAAGAAAATCTCTCAAGTGCGTGATCTCTTCGTTTATAACAATTTTTCAATAATTTTGTCTCACCTGCAGTGCAATTGCAACGGCCATCCTCGGGTGAACACTTAGCACCGTTTTTGCAAGCACACCTCTGAACACAATCCTCTCCGAATCTATTTTCAGGACAAATTTCGCTACAATCTTCTCCTCTATAACCAGCGGCACAAATACAAGTTCCATTTATCGGAGAACACTGAGCGTTGTTCTTGCAATTGCAATGTTCCTGACACCCTTTGCCATAAGTATATAACGGACAAGTTCTACTACAAGTTTCACCATCCCAGCCAGCTT